ATGAAACACCATTACTTGAAGTGATCAACAAGGCTGTGTGGTGTTTTATGTAACCCCGAAATGAGATGTTTCATACAACTCTCTCCCCCACCATGGTCCTAGAGGTGGCTGCTGGTTCCCCTTGTCTTTTTGCATGCCAATACTTTGACTGAAGGCTCCCTTGCCACCCCCTTTTCCCTCACTGCTCCTTTGAGTCTTTCCACCAGCCCCAGGTGGGTAGTACCATTCACTTTGGCAATCTCTGCACTAAACAGTGCAATCAAGGATTTGGGGATGGGGGCAAGGACAGCAAATTTTCACAACCCTTTCTCTCCTTTTGGACAGTCTATATTCTATTATTTCTTTTAAAAAAATGTAATCAACATTTACATTATTTAAATACTGACAGGATTTTCTGTTTGTTTAGTATGGGGCAGCACACTGAAATGTATTAATCATTCCCTCTTCATTAGTTAATATATACTAGCTTTATGCATTTATTTATATATGTATTTAATTTATATGCTGTCTTTCTCTGCACATGGGACCCAAGACAGTTTACGAAGGCTAAGACAAAAACTCTTGATAACAAAAATGTTAAAACCCAATTAAACAAATATCATATGAAAATACCATTAATTTTTAACATTGTTTTAGAAGCATAACAATAATGATTAAAAAATACAGCACACACAGCACCCAATAAACCAGAAATGCATAATGGTAGTATGATGCAAGGCTTTTTAGCATGAAAAAATACTCAGTCCATAGGAGAAAATGATTGTATGACCATTTTAAAAGCAAAAAACAAAACAAAAAACTTTCTCAGGTGTCCAGATATTCTCCAAACCTCAGTTCTGTGCCCAAATAAAAGAAAGTTTCCCCCACATATACCTGCGCTCCCCATCTTTCACTGACCTTTTTATCCTGCCCAAAATGATCAGTGAAAGCTCTGGCTCCACCACCATCCCTTCTTCTTTCTGATAATTGGTATGTTTTGCAAAGAGCTTATCTGTTGCTTTCTTCAGTCCTGACATGATTGATTGCTGCTCTTATCAGGTTAGTGTTGTTGACACACACACACAAAAAACAAGCAGAGAGATATTTTCCCATCACATTTGCATTTCTAATTTTCCCAGTGCTGGGTAAATTGCTGAATTAGTAGAGCTGTATTAAGTGTAAATTGGTAACCAGTTTTTATATGCCCAATGAAAGTTGGATGAAAGAATACATGCTCATTATAGAAACAAAAGTCAATGTTGAATAATACCTATATTGGATCATTAATACATCCCAAACATGGTACAAAAAGTAGGGGATAGAGAAAGAAACAAGAAGTCTAAAAATCTTTCTTATTCTCTGTTCCCTGATTTTGTACCATCATGCATGATGAAGGCTCTGACAGAACAAAAAGAACTGGCCATATTTGTGACATTTTAGCAATCTTCTAACAGTATCACTCCACTCTGACTGTTGTTTCTCTTCATGGATCACAAAGCTACTTCTTTTCTGTTTTACTTGCTGTTGGAAATATACTCATTATAGCATATGGTGAAATAGAATGGGATATTTATGAGACTTCAAACCCCAATGAAATATCACAAAAGGTATAGTTACACTTAGATGGGCATTAATTCCAATGCCCCCAATGAGACATAACCAGGCAGTGTTAAGTTCACACTATGCTAATCCTTTATTGGCTTGTGTTGTATTTGTACTTTCCTTTTAAAAGTTAAGCCCTGTTGCACATGAGGCTCAGGCATGATTTCCATCATCTCTTTGCTTCTTTTACACTGACATTGAATGGGAATTAAACAATTACAGTTCCTTCTCACTTAATTCCTAGATGAAAGCAACACAAGTCATGATGTATGGAATATTATTATTGCCCTATACTATTACAATACTATTGCCTCCTGTTGTATTCTGGGGTTTATAGTTTAGTGAGACCTAAGAGTTCTCTGGCTGAATGCCCCTCCACAATGCCCCTTCCTAAACTGCAAATCCCAGGATTCCACAGGAGGCAGCCATAGCTATTAAAGTGGAATAATAGTGCTATAATAGCATAGTGTGATATTGCATACATCATCCCAGCTTTCACAACTCCTGGCACTGCTGCACCTCCCTTTTCCTGCTAGGACTTTAGCCAAAAGCACTGGCTTTGCTTTTCCTTCTTCTCATTGTTTTTCCCTTATACTCAGCACCAGT